GAGGTAGAGCTTCAAGGAGGGACCAGCAAGGGTGGCGAGGTCAGGTCACACAGGATCTCGCATGTTCATATAAAGACATGCGATGATCACCTAAAAACTGAGGTTGGCTTGACCTGAAAGATTAATAGAAGTATTTGGTGACAGAAACAACGCTAAGATTCTGGAGGGTGTGATCCACGCGGAGCTCACCTCTGTGTCTGACATTGTGTTTCTTCTGGGACCGGGGCAGAGCCATAACGCACCTTAGTGGAGCCTGAGAAGTCATTAGCGCCCCGAGGGAGAGTGAACGGATGCTACCGAGAACTGTATCAGGAAAGGTTGCTTGCAGAGAGACACAGGTCACAGCTTCCTGGGAGGTGTCACTGGAAGGATGAGTAGCAGGATAAATAATGGCCCCCAAATCCTTAAAATATATGAATGTGACGAGAGACATCATCAGCAGGGGCCTCGCAGGTGTGAGTCACCTGAGAAGCTGGAGAGAGTGCGGACCCTGGAATCTCCTGGCTTACCCGGTGGGCTCTGAATATAATCACAGGACGAGTACAGGAGGGAGGCGGAAGAAGAAGGCCAGGTGACAACAGAGACAGAAGAGGCAGTGTGGTGGGTGCTGAGAGCCAGGCAGAGCAGGGACATCCGGAAACCGAAGAAAACCAGGGGACAGACCCTCCCCTGGAGCCCCTCAGGAACCACCCTGTCCCCCACCCCGAGTCGTCTTCTGCAAGAGTCTCTTCAGACTTTGTCCCCCAGAGGGGTGAGCGAGTCCATTTGTGTTACCACAAGTCACTAAGTTTGTGACAACTTGTGACAGCTACAACAAGAAACTAACAAAGTAGGTACAATTCCAAGAGCATACCTGGGAAAATAAAGCATAAGTTACCATATGTCCTAAGTCACCCAGTAGGGTCTGGTAGACATTAATGGTATCTCTCTTCTCTCCCAAATGTACCCTCTTTTGGGTTACATATCGGTATAAGCAAAGCTCCTGGACAGGTGTTGGCAATAGCACGCAGAAGTCTGAGGACGAAAGGGACAATTGGAGAGGGCAGGAGAGGCTCTGCCCTCCAATTTGCCCAAGCCTACACTGCATAAAAAGCATCTCATGGAATAACCACCTCGCTGCCTATAAGTGCTTCAAAAATCACACGTTGACCTTATGGCTTAAGTAAGCATTAAGGAATAATATTGCTGCAATAAGGAAGACGTGGCTCCTGCCTGCATAAAGGCAGGACTGGAGGAGACGCCCCCACAGGACCACCGGGCTGCAGGGCACTCGGTGGTGAGGCACAGGCCCACAGTCTGAACCACTGTTGCAGATCACCGCCCGAGCTCCAGGACGGCGTACCAGTCGAGACATCGCGTCATCTGCAGGTCTGAGGGGCAGATGGGTGGACTCTGAGGGGCACAGAATCCCTCTGGATTCAGCGTGTGTTGGCCAAGCAGCCGTGTGTCACCTGGTTTCCAACTTTCCCTTGCAGCCATGTACAAGAACTGTCTGATCACGAGCAGGCGCTTGGTGCCCTCCTGAGGCTTGCCATCCTCGACCTACAAGCCTACTGCTTCCATCTCATCAGAACCAACCACGATGCCCACAATTCTTGCACTGAAGGTCCCAAAACCTTTTTTATTTCTTTGCTCATCCAGGCTGATCTATCCCAGGTTCACAGGCTGTTGTGGCAGCTCTCCACCATGCTGTCCTCTCTGTACTTTGCTCCCCCTCATCCGCAGCCCACCCGCCCTCTCCACAACTTCCTAGGCTGCCTTCTCTCTTCCCTTTCACAGAACCGCTTCTCCTTCAAAGGTGAGCTCGTGAATTTTACAACCAAAGTAGCCTCTTGCTTCTCTGGGTATCTGTGGCATCTCTGTCCAGTGATCTCACCAGCTACTGCATCACTGCAATGTGCCAAGTGCTGCGCTAGTCACTGTGGAGTTGAAAAGCCACTTTCTTTCAACTTCACATCTCAAGGTGAATCTAGAACAATTACCTGGTTCTCTGATTTCCAGGTCAATGCAAGGCTCACACAGCATGCACCTTGCCTAATTTCTAATTGTCTTGGTGAGCAAGAGCTATGTTGTAGCCACTTTTATTTCCTACCATTCTGCACATATAAAAAGTGCTCAATGCTTATCAGCTGTGGCTTGGTTTCCACCCCGGTATCATTGGCTGTGTTTTCCTTCAACTTTCCGAGAATTCCACTGCAATGCAACCATGAGCTGATGTGAAGCAGTGTGACACAAGAGCTGTCGTCATGTCTACATTTCTGCCCATGGGCAATACTTGTTCTAGCTCATGCCCGATGTGGGGCAGATCCTGACACTTTCTATGGACTCTACTGCTGGCCAGGACACTCCCAGGGCTTCTCCCTGCCATCCAATTCTACATTAGTTGGTGAGCTCATCTGCTGGCCGTGTGAGCACGCACTCCTGTTTTTGTCATACCTCCCTGGGGGCCGTGCCCAGCAAGTTCCAGACTCCTCAAACTTTCTGAGAAACTGGAGCTATCACCCGGGAAATTCCCATCCTTCCAACTCCCGGGCTTCTGGTCTCTTCCACCTCCCCACACTGCACCCCCACCCTTCTCACCATCCTCAGCCTCCTTCATTGAGGATGAGTCCGTCTGCACCCAGGACCCAGGCTTCCACACTCTTCAGATGCCCCCTCTCCTGTCTTCCCCTTGCCAGGACTTCCTCCTTCTCATATCCTCTCTTTCATCTGAATCTTCAAATTCTTCACTCCACAGACCATTTCCTGGGGCACTGAAACCTACTTGATAGCTACCATTCTAAGAAGACTTCATGACGCCAGTGTTCACTTCCTCCTCCACCCCACTCTGTGTCTCCTTATAGCTAACATCTCAGACACAAAAACGAAACTACATAAGCACCGCAACTACCTTTCTTCCCACTGTCTTTTCATACTTTGTGACTTTCACAGTGATAAGACTTTTTCTGACTGTATAAATATGCAGTAATTTTTTTAAAAAATCAATCAAATTAAACTGTAAGGAAGAGGACAAAAAATCCTTAAAACCTACCTCCCTGAGATAACTGCCATTAATATTTGGGGAACACTTTTGCAAACTTCAATCCATGGGTCTGAGTCCAGGATCACCAGTACGAGGAGCACACATAGGGCATCATGTTCTACTATCATCTTTTCCACATGCAGTTGTCTTTCTTTCCTGTTCCAACCCTTTCAAATAACATTATACCCCGCTGGGGGAGCGAGTGCTAACCACCCAGTCTGAGCCCTCCTTACGAGTCCTCCTGTCCATACAATTACTTGACAAGATGCATGTGGATGGAGACAGGTTTGTGGAGTTTTCATTGCCACCAGATAACTTTAGACAGCAGAGAACATCTTGGCCAGTATTTATTTCTCATTTAGGTGTATTTTTACTCATCCACACTTGTTTCCACTGGGGATTAAGTTGAGCAATCTTTAGTAGAAAGTCCTAATAAGAATAATAGAACAAGGACTTATTCCTTTCACAGAGAATCAAAATCAGAGATAAGCGGTCCAGCCCGAGCCCAGTGGCTCCCCCTGTCCCTGGGCCTGGCTACTGTGAGCTTTCCCTTCTCCCCCCTGCAACATGAACTCACCTCTGTGCTCCCAAGGTGACCATGAAGCCCAGGTAGCCAGCTAAATACAAGCCTACTGTGGGTGCCACCCACTCCAGTGTGGGCCTTCCCTTTACCCATGCCCAGAACTGTGCTAAGCCAGTCAGCAGACTAATTCAGTTATCACACACCCTCACTCCATATGCAGGCACCCTTAATCCCAGCTTCACACCCTAGACCCAGCCCCTTCCAAAATACCCGTCTATGAGCACATAAGGCTTCGGGGCGACATCTAGACATAGAAATAACAAGAACAAAGTTTCAAATGATACTGAATCTGATCTAGTGTAACTCATATGCTTCACCTGACATTACCAGACAATACAATGTTCCCTTGCAATAGCAGCAGATTAGACCTGCTTCTCGTTGATTAAATCAGCTAAAATATGTGTAACATAAAGGCAGAAATTTAGAAAACATTTTCACGATTTTTAAATTTCTTTTGCTAAACATTACCTTCCTTTTCCATCCTTCCTACCTCCTAATTTTTTTTCCCTCCGAATGCCTCCTAGGTCTGCTTAGAGAATAACTCAACTATCTGAACCCTGAAAGAGCCCTGTCCAGTAGGTTCCTTACTTGCTGTCAGCTCCCTGTTCATCTCCCAGCTGTGCCACCCTGCTCAGGGCAGTGCCCACATTTCCCAGGCAGGACCAGTCCTGTGCGCTGCGTCCCCTCTGTCCTCACTGCCGTGCGTACCGTGCCTCTGTCGCCTAACAGTGTGGTGATTTGTATCAGCTCCTCCAGCTTTTACCCCTCAGCTCCTTTGTATGAGTGGGAACTCCCAGGAAATCCACATTTCTTCTGTTGAAGCCGATCAGATTCTCAGCAATTTCCATAGCACCACTTTAAAACTACAAAGTGTAAGTGATCTCGGCTGATGGTTAGATGCTCCTTTAATTTATTTAATTTAATTTCATTCCTTTGGCTGCTATATAGGAAGCCACAGCTCCAGAGCAGTTTCTCCATAAGGTTAATGAATTTGACACTGTGGGTCCTATAAGAGCTTTTGTTTCTTCTGAACGAACTGCCCTGACCGTGAACTCAGACAAGCATGAGAGAAAGACAACGTACTACTTTCAAGTAACCCTAAATTGTAACCCTGCATTGTTTTAATTTTTAAAATAATGACTTTTCTTCCAAACCCTTTGGCTGGCTCTCTTGAGTTATACTCACGATGTATGCATTGGGCATGTGAAGCTAGAAGCTCGAGAGGTTTACTTTCTTGGGCCATGTAATGTTTGATTATCATTTAGCATTTCAGATGGAAAATGAATTACTGGTAGCAGGCCATTATTGCATCATAACCATTAACAGGAGCTAGGGTCATGATGCAATAATGTAACTTGGCTCTGCTGGAAGCTAAATGCAAACTTCATGAATGTGGACATCACTGAGGTAGAGCGGGTTAATGAGTCGAGCAGGAGACAGTGCGGTGAGGTGGGACAGCCTCAGAGAGGTGTTCAAGAGCATCATTCGCTGTCAGGATGGATCTGGAACTCAGGAGTGAGGAAGATCAGTGACAGCCAGTCTTCATTCCCGAGACTCATTGCCTGAGAGCAGCCTCCAGGGCTGGAGACCCACAGGACACACCTCCTACATAGCTGCATTCCATGTGATAGGAGGGACCTTTAACCAGGCCAGAGACGTATTGGACACACATTGTTCCCTGAGTTCTACACAAGTCTGACGAAGTTGAAGGCCGCGGCACTGCTGTGAGTAACTCATTGTATGAGGTCTTGGAAGACGTCATGAAGCACGAGAGCTTAGGAAAGGGTTTGCAGCAAAACGCTGGGAGAAGCCAAAGAGACAAATGAAGCGGAAGGACCAGGGCATCAGCGTGCTCACTACCAGCAAAGACGATGGTAGAAGTTTGTACTCATGCCTGAGACGCTGCACACACCTGTTGGGCTGGAAGACATAAAGTGTGGCCTAGAAGCTTGGTGATCACAACAGTGAGAACGAGGTGGAAGCTGTGTCCCCATAGGGAAAAGCCCTCTCAGAGCCAAGACAGGGCCTGGCACAGACAGTCACTCCACAGCAAGGTGGTAAATGAAAGACGAATGACACCCACCATTGGTAGACTGCCTGCCGTACAACAGGCACTACGCTGGGTCCTTCCCTGCCTGACCAGGCTTTATCTCTTAGCTCTGAAATCCAGGTTTTATTACACTTTTGCAAAAGAGGAGATCAAGGGATAGAAAAGATACACCAAAGATCAAAGAGCTAGAAATCGGGAAAACAAGGATTTAAGTGGGGAGGTAGGTATTTAACTTCTCGTTTGTTTTTGTATTAATACTTTCTCAGTATCTTTCCACCTTAACTAGAAGAAAGTGGTTCCTGTTGGGACAGAAGGCAAAGCCCAGGAGGCGGAGCTCGCCCGCTCCGCAGCCCTTACTCCAGAGCTGATGCCCGCTCCTGTTCTTCCCTCTCCCGCCCTCTGTAGATGCCCGCCCGCTCTCCAGGGCTGTACCCACCACTGCCTTCTGCGTGTTTATTTGCTTTGGAGAAGGCATTGTCTGTGGTCATTGACCCAACTCATTTGCAAATATTACAGTCTTTAGGCATCTTCTTTGGGGTGGTCAGCCAGCAAGGCCAACTGCTCCATGTGTTATTTATCAAGGCAAAATTACATGGCTAGCAAAAAGCAGCACAAAAATTACAGAGAGATGCTTACATCTTTAGGCTGTACCCACACTGCACTGTTTTCCTTCTGAAAAACAGGTATTTATTCACATCATGTTATGCTGTAAAATAAAAAGGAATCTGGAATTTATAAGCTAATTGACTGGAAATAATTATGGACAATGAAGTAATGATGTCTATTTGTTTATGCTTTTCCATATGTAACTTGACCTACATGTTTTAAAAATGTAAACTTATTTTAGCATTTATTTGTAATTATACCATTATTTATGTTTCTGTCAAGTGATTTTTAGTGTAGTGCACTTTTATTTTGGATAAGATTATTGACAAGCCAATTCTTACATGAAAACCAAAGGCATGGAGTACATATATGTTAAGTTCCTGGTTCACATCTGACATTAAAATAACTGATTTTTTACAAGGCATCATTATTCCGCAGGCACTACCACAGCACATTGGTCTGTTATGAGCAAACGCGCATTGCACAGGGATCCGTGAGCTGCTGGAAGATGCGGCGAGTCCAGCCGTGCCCGGTTCCTTTGCACGTGTGGCGACAGCAACAGAGGTGCAGAGAGCGAAGAGTCTGAGGCAAACGTCATCTCCAGGAAGGTCAGGCCCAGCAGAGAGAATGGGAAAATATGCTAAGATTTACATGCACTCCGACACCGAGGATGGATCTGTACAAAAATATTACCTACTGCTTTGTTCTGGATGTGAATTCAAAAACAAATGCCCTCAGGAATTGTTGTAAGAGGCAGAGCACTCTCCCTCCACCTCGGATCCAGGTACCCTGTTTGGCCCCCCAGTTCACCTGTTGGCTGCAGAGCCTCAGAGCACCTCAGTCTGTATTTATCACTGGTGTTCAGACTTTTCTGTTTGCCCAAGCAGAAGTCCTGAGCAGGGACTCTCACATCCCCACAAGAGAACCAGACCTATGGAAAGTGCCTGGGCGGGGAGCGTACCCTTCCAGTGAGGGTGGGCATCGCTGAGAGGGGCAGTGGCAGGTGCAGAGTCCTGGCTGGTGTGCGACCCCTCTGCTCTCAGCAGGTGTACACCTGCGGCAGGAAGGACCCCCTGACCCGAGGAAGCAGCTCCAAGGTGCTCTCTCACAGTCAGGGCCCCACAAGCCCTCATGCGTCCTCACACCGAGGGCAACTCGGAGGGGGCAAGGTCTCCACTCACCATGGTGGAGATGGCGCACAATGGCAGCCCAACCCAGGGTGACTTGGAGCTGTCAAAACCGGTCCTTAGGGCCCAGGGAGCAGCCTAATCTGGAGGCTTCCGTGCCTGTGGGGAGGGGCTGTGCTTTATCCCCAGGGTGTGGAGGATTTCCGTAGGGAAGACGGCTTGTAGGGTTGACATCCTAGGACAGTCACTCTGGTAGCCTCTGGGAATGGACAGGAATGAAGGAAGCAGGACACCCCTGCCTGGCCTGGCCTGCACCGACTGCGTGGCACATCCTGTCCTTGCTGTCTTGTGCACGAAGAGCCAAGATGACACAGGCAGACCACAGAGGGAGGAGTCCGTGTGTCCACATGCATGACCCCATCAGGGTGTGACCGGGACCGTCAGGCCTCACTGGACCAGCAAACTGTGACAGTGAGAGTGTGAAGTGTTTGATTTCATAGGTGGAACTGAAAAAGACAGTATAGTGGTCCAGACATGTGCTTAAAATGAGAGAAATCGTAATAGCCGTACCCACTTGGACATTTCTTCAAAAGATAAAACTTCTGAGCTGCATTTTAACCTTCAGATATCACCACCAGTAAATAGATTATTTGAGAAATTAACTAAACCATTTGGGCAATGGCTTCTCAAGAAACAGTGAGACCAATGAGCCACTGTTTGGACTATTTTATTATATATATATATATATATATATTACATTACATGATATATGACTATATGTAATATAAATATAAATTTAGGATATATATAGATAGATTGATCCTAAAACATCCTGGTGACCAGACCCTCATCTGTGACCCCTGCCTACCTTTGCATGGTCCTTAAAGCAGTGCTTCCCAGTGCACACCCTGGGTTTCAAAGCCGAAGAACATTCTCTTACAAATAATCGTTGTGATTCCTCCCTTCCCACAGACTCCAATAGCTTTCTCTCAGGGCTTGGGATGATGAAATATGCAAGTGTCACCAAAGACTCTGCAGGTCTTCGCAAGACACGGGGAAATGAGTGAGGAAGCCACGCGCGTGAAGGTAAAATGGAAGCAGCACACCAGTGAGCAGCACTAAGGGAGAGAAGGTTCAGAAGGAAAAGGCCAGATTTACAGACTGCAGCATCATCCTGGCTCCGTGGATGTTATTGCAACAATCTCCATATACATCTGAGAAAAACCTACTGAGCATTCAATTACTTTGCCAGGACCAATATTTCAACAATCTTAGATTCTTCCACGACGTTGGCATCAAGGGGGGTATTCATAATATTAATTCTAGGGACACCCATACAGAAAGCATGTCCTAGGTCCTTCAAGAGTGTCTTAGAGTCTGATTCCATTCTCTGGCCTAACAGTCAAAAAAAAAAAAAAGGAAAAAAAAAATTCCATGACCTGCCTTGCATCTGTTGTTTTAAAATAACTTCACAATAATGTACAATTTCTATTCTTATTTTGTTGAAACCACTGGCATTTCCCCAACCCGTAAACAAAAACAGCATTCTGGAAACCACCAGACGTCAAGTGTGCAATTTTCTTCCCTAATACTTGGTCTAAAGAAAGGCTCTGGCGCGCGGACTGTGACCGTCGCGCACCCGTTCCTATGCCGCCACCGGACGCTATGCAGCGACATTCGCTCCTAGTGAGTCACATCGTGAGCCACTATATATTTTTGTTGCTAAATTTATTAACATATATTTATGGGCATATAGTTATACAGTTTTGCTTGTGGTGTTTGTGCTCAGGCTAATTTTTGCTAATTTTCTTTTGTTTTTCCAAGGAGTATTTCTGTCTTCCTAGGCCTCAAGAATTGTCTGTGATGTGGTTATCAAGAAATAATGCCAAAGTTTTAGTATTGTTAGGAATACGTCCCTAATATGCATTACCCCTACACCTTCACAATTTCCTTCACCGGATTCGGTCCCTGGCGTTAGAAATGGGGGGCAGCAAATAGAATTAATGTATCAGCAACAGGTTTAGCCCCTCCCTTCAGGGTCAAAAGATGGGACAGGGAAGGAAAGTGACCCGCGTTTCCTGAGAAAGAGACACAGTAACGAAAACAACAAATTGAGGCACTGGATGGGATTAGAAGTTTTTCTGTGAAAAACACTTAGTTTGGATTAGCATTTTACCTAAAGTGACTTAACCTCTCACAGTCTCTTCTACTGTTAAACAGATTAAGTAAAGTGTGTTTGCAAAGAGCTTACATATTGGACACGTAAAGCAAACTGATGTTAAATAAAACAGCAGGTTGACCATTGTGTTATGTTACTGTGCACATCCATGAGTGTTTGCTATGTAGTCTGCACGTGTTCACAGCGTGCTACACACAAACATACGAAGCAAGCTGCACCGACACACGCTGAAGTCCACAGTGGAGCAGAATGATGTGGGGCCTGAGTTAGATAAAGTGTAGAAAGACCTTATTTTCCTATTAAAGTCAGTTATATTCATGCATCATTGCTAAGTAGGAAACTGGAAATTTATTCAATGTCAAGAAAAGCCATTTAGCCACTGATGATTCACATTTTGCTTGAGTGTCTGGCAGGAAACTGCCATATCACTTGTTGGCAAATTTGAGTGGTATTAAATTGAACAGGTAAAAAAATAGGCTTGTGAATTAACAAATTAAGTTTGCAATACATACTTCCGAATAGTGTGGACTAAGGAATGCTGACATGATTTCCTGAAAGTACAAGGATCACAGCAGCACAGCCATCCTTCCCAAGCCAGCCCTCGGTCTCGGGCCCAAGTCCCTCTCCCTGGCCCATGGGTAGCAGGCAAACAGAGATGGGCCACTGGCCTTGGCACCCTCAGGGTCCCGGCCCCCACTGGTAGGAAGATGGTGAGGCCAGGCCAGGCCCGCACCACTGTCCAGTAGACAAAGCGTGTTTCTGTTCTGTTCTTCTGTAAACATTCTCTCTCTGTTTCCAGCTCATGTTTGCTGCCATCTTGATTCTGACTCGTGTCTCTACTCAGACTCCAGTTTCTGACTCTTTCCTGGGTCCAGCAAACCCCTTACCTCTCCACTTCTCCAACTCACCGTCTTCCGCTTTCTCTGACTCAGTCGTCCCTCAAGACTCTAGTTCTGCTTTCTCTCCCCCACTCTTCCATTTTCCCAGTGATGCACACACCTTCGTGCCATGCAGCACCCCGGGCACTCACACTCTAGGTGGCGAGGGTCTGCTCCGACATCCCCAGCGCTGCGCCCGGAAGGGGAACGCTGTTCTGCCTCTCAGAGAGAAACAAGCTCCAGGGAGCTGAGTCAGCCCTCCAACCAACAGAGGGCTCTGTGCTGCAGGGACATTTCTTGGGGGATATTTTCTGCTTTTGTGTGTTCAGCATAACAACCAAAATACAATTTCAGGGGAGGCAGGAAGAACCTGGAATTGCCTCTCTCAGATGACGGCTTTTTTAGTTTTTCCACAAATGCAAATAAAATCAAGAGACAAGTCCGCAGAGGCAAGCTGAGGTCCTGATGTTTCAAAAACCGTGGGAAAGAGAAGCGCGGGTTCCACCACCACTCTTGTTCCACTTTAACGGCGCTGTGCAGCACCATGCTCAGCCGCCAGTTCGGGCACCACTGCACGACACAGCTCCGTCAGACTCTCGGTCTGGGGCTTTGTTTCCAGAGTGTTCTCTCTTATGAGCCTTGGATCCCATTCACTGGCTTAGGGCAGGGGCTGCGAGTGGGGAGCAGCGCAGCAGCCCTTTCCTGAGCTAGCTGCTACTGGGAAGCGTTGCTGTTCACCGTGTCTTCCTCCTGCGGAAAAGCGTGGAAACTCCAGGTTGGACCCGTGGGGCGTGCCAAACCCCGGTCTTCTCCCGGGGCCGTTTTCTCTCTCCTGCACCCCACTTTTCTAGGAACTCTTATGTCTGCTTGCTTCTCCCATCCAAATCCCACTGTTACACTAGATGAGACCCTTGACCGGGTCAGCTTACCACCTGTTTATTTTTGATCAGCACCCAACCAAATCAAGACGAACTCCTTATGAGAGGCACAATTCTTTCACACAACGAGCATCAGAGAGGAGGTGACCTTTTTCTAAGCAGGAAAAAAAACTGTCACATTCGAGTCAGAGTCAGATGTAACACGCTTCCACCGCAGTTCTCTAAAGACTAGAAAACTAAAAGCAGCCTGACGTCGCTCCATGTTCCCGAAAGGTTTTCCACAAGAGAGAGGACTCCTTGGGAAGAGAAACCGACCCGCCAAGGCCCAGTCTCCAACCCAGACGTTCCACACACATTTGGGAACCCAGACATTCCCAAACAGAGGGGAAGAGCTTGGGGATCTTCAATCCTCAGTGCACGTCCCAAAGTTGGGGCGCCCTCCGCCTCTTAAACACGCCCCAACCTGCAGGCACTTCATCCTGAGTGTGAGAAACAGAGAGGGGCTGATGCTTCCTATTAGACGACGAGGCTAGACAAAGATAATGTAGCATAGCATCCGCTTATATCTCATTACAATGGTATTGAAAATTTTATTTCCAATAAATGTCTTTTTAATTCTGTTAAAGTAAATGATTCACAGGATGTCTGCCGTGTCGTTTCTGATCAGTTCCCAGTCCTAACTCCAGGTCCTGAGCGTGCACTGTGGCTGGATGGGTGAGGGGTTGGAGATGAGCGGATGGACAGATGGGTGGATGGCTGGCTGTGGTTAGCATGGTAGATGTATGTTCCCCTTCCTATTTATTCCTTTAATACCACAAATTTCCCACTGTTGTCTGAAATATATTCTCTGACATCCTTGAGGAGTTTTGTTCCATTTTTAAGAACTCTGATTCCATTATTTTCTTATGGTTCTTCGACTGTCATTTGCTCCCTTCCATCTGCTCCTGCCCAGCGTGTCCAGGGAGTCTGGAATCCGCAGCTCTTAGCAGGGGCATTCAGAGGTCTGGCTGCACCTTCTGCCGCCCTAAGGACTTCAGTGCCTCACCCTGGCATCACTCCCCCTTCCACCTGCTGCAGGAGTCCTACCACCAAGATCCCAACACTGCTCCCAGAAGCTGCCTCTGCCAGTGCCACCCAGTGATGAAGCTACAGTGACCAATGATCGATTAATCATCCCAAGAGTTCCTGAGGTGCCCGATGTGCCAAGGGAGGGAAGTTCCCCCAGGCTGGGGCCAGTGAGGACCCGGCCAGGGCAGCCACACAGGATAAGAAATAGAGAAGTAATACTCCCATAGAATTTCACAAAGGCTAAGCTCTGTGTAAATGTCTCTGAGCTCTAATTATTTTTGTGAGCATGACCATGCCCACCTCTTAGAACTACTGAGGGAATGAGGTCCTGTAACATACTTAGAGTAGCACCTAGCACATAATAAGTACTCAAGAAGTACTGAGTGACTATTGTTACCAGCATTACCATTAAGAACAGTGTTAGCAATTCTGAAGGAAGAATGTAAAGGAAAATGGGACTAAGAAACATGAAACAAGTTCAGAATGGGCAGAGAGAAAATCTGGCGGCTTCAGCATCTGCTTTCTGCTGTCATGTTGGGCTGAATTCAAATCCACATCCCTGCCCCAGATATAGGGAGGAAGTCACAAGCAAAGTAGTTCACCAAAACTCCAAAGCAATGTGTCAATAACTTTCTAACTGTTCTTTCCTATAACCTAGTCATTTTCTGCAACTGCTTAAAAACTAAGAAAAATACCCCATTTTGTTGAGCATGAAATAGTAGATATAGCTTTACCTCATTACTAGCTTATAGTCTAGGATCAGAACTTCCTCTTACAAGAATCCCCAAAACCGTCTGTTCCTTCATAAGTACAGTCTGTCCCGGGTTCTAACACCCTTTCCTGCTGAAGTCCTACTCTAGTTCTAAGCAGAGGCTGAGAAACTCGCTGGTCTCTGACACAAAAGTTCCACTCCCTTTTTCTAGACGCTCCATGCCTTGTGTGCGAGGACAACCGTGCTTTCTGCTCCACGAGCTCTGATTTCAGAAGACTGAGCCCTGGCATTTCTTCACCTTCCTCGTCCGGATGCTCTGTCCGTCCCGTGCTGGGCTTCTCTCGCTTGCTCTGTTATTCCAAGGGCCCTCATCACTTCCCCCACTCCACCCCACTGATCCAATTGCAGGCGCTGTCTGACTGCTATCTCTCGCCTGCGTACTAGGGTGCATCCTAGTGTTACGGACACAACAGAGAGCAAAGAGCGGAATGATCCTTACTTTCACATAGCTTGCATTTCAGCTGGAAAAGGCAGACAACAAATAAAAAGCAAAACTGTACAGTGGTGATAGGTCTTAAAGGAAACTTAAGGTAGTACTGAGCAATATCTGAATAAAGGGAAGGAATACAATGTGTAAAACTCTGGTTTATTGTCCAAGGCATGTCATGTCACCTGACCTGGCTTATAGCAGCTTCCAATAAGT